AATTTTCCTTTTTCTAAAACTGTCTGAAAAAAAATTTTAATTAAACAGCGTTTGGTCTTAGTCTCTGAAAAAATTCTTTTAAAAAGTTATATCAGGGGCTGGCCTGGTGGCGCACTGCTACAGTGCACCACTTGGGAGTGCGGCAGCGCTCCCGCCTAGGGTTCGGATCCCACATACAGACCGGTTCCCGCTCACTGGCTGAGCGAGGTGCGGGCGCGACACCGAGGGTTGCGATCCCGTTGCTGGTCCCGGTCCGGTCCGGGCGCGACACTGAGGGTTGCGATCCGTTGCTGGACACGAGAAAAGACAAAAAAAAAAAAAAAGGAAAAAAAATTTATATCAGAAAACCTGGATTTAACTCTCTGTGCTGCCATTCACCAGAGTAGGCAGGTGACCTGGCCTATCAAAATTTGTTCATCTGCAAAAGTGGAATAAGATACTATATCTCGAATGTTCGTATGAAAATAAATTCATCTCTTGATGAGGTTTTCTGTCTCCATCTACAACAGTGCTTTTCAGTAGAAATAAAAATGTGAACCACATATGTAATTTAAAATTTTCCTAGTAGCCACATTAAAGAAAAAAACAACTGAAATTAATTTTAATATATTTAGCCCAATATAGCTAAAATATTTGCATTTCAGCATGTAATTAATGTAAAAAATTATTACGATTTTATGCTTTTTTAAATTAATTTTATTTTATTTTGTCAATATACAATGTGGTTGATTATTGTGGCCCATTACCGAAACCTCCCTCCCTCCTCCCTCTCCCCACTCCCTCCCAACAACCTCATATCTGTTCGCTTATGCTAAGTTTTTGAAATCTAGTGTGTATTTTACAAATACAGCACATCTCAACTTAAACTATCCACATTTCAAGTGCTCAGTAGTCACATCAGCTGGTGACTACCATATTGGACAATCTGTATCTAGGCTGTAGATTAGTATTTCCTATCAGTGTTCTTGGGTACTGGTGCTCCTTTGGCCTTAAGCAGTTAGCCTAGGCTTATTCTTAAAACTGTGTGCACCTTCAGATGCTTGAGCCTTACATCTCTTTCATCAGCAAACTGGATTAGTATTTTTGCCATTGGGAGGACAGGGTCCTGCTCTTATTACTTTTTGCTGTCCTAGATGAGGACTTGTCTTGGATGTTATATACTTCTTTATTTGATTAAGGCTGGTAGACAACCAGGGATTGCCGAACTTGTTGAGTATGGTAAACATTTTGAACCAGAAGTATCAGAGCTCCAGGTCAGGATCAGGCTTTGTAAAACACCTTCACTCTTGTTTCTTACCTGTCCTTCTTTGCCTATTTCCCAAATTTTAGAGACTTATCTAGTGTCCCTGGGAAAAGAGCAGATACTAGCAATCTTCTAAAAGAATTCAGCGTCTTTGTCCTCCAGTTCAACTTGGCTTAACATGGCAGCCCTCTCTTCCCAAAGATTATTTTGACTTCTAAAAAGACATTTAGAAACCCTTTTAGAGCCAAGAGATTAGGGGGGCAGGGGAGGTTATGGGCTACCTGATAGCACTGGACTCACTTTTCATATCTAAGCTTTTTCTTAAGCTTTTCTGATACTTTCACCGAAATTTTGGGAGAATTGTAGTATAGAGGGCATTATCCTAATGGCTGTATGTAGTGGTGAAAAGGGGTAGAGAGTATGGGATTCAGGTGCACTCATCCAATGAAAAGTCTGCTCAAATGTTGCTCTGGCCAGTATATGTAATATATTTGAATTTTCAGATCTAATGTCAGTGGTAGGAATCTTAATGTTTGCTCTTGACCCATCATGTAAATAAATTTTTACTTCTTTTAGGTAGCGTGGGTCATAAGGAGGGGAAATGAAGTAGCTTGGAATGCAGTTGTAAAAGGGGACTAGGGGAGCCAGTCTATACCAGGTGAAAATTTCAGATTATACAGAGTAATAAAATGGGAGGGAGAGGTATTAGGATAGGGAATTGGACTGAAATTTTTTAGTTCAGGTGCTGTAAATATGTATAAGGTTTTGGGGCAAGATGGTTGGCATAATTGATAATAGAAGCCTCGGTAAAAGATGAGAGAAATTCATAGCCAGAGAGATTAGAATTATTTGGAGGAAATGTGGGCTATAGAGGCTTGTAGCCAAAAATTCACAAATCATATTTCTATTGTCTTTGTTAAGAATCTTTGTTTAAAATTTTAACTATTTCTGTGCATTTCTCAGTCATCCTTCTAGTTCATGTCTCATACTTTTATACCACCTATATACTGTTACCCATACCTTGTGCTCCCTGGAATTATGGTACCTGTGAGCACAACCTCACCATACTCTGCAAAGGCCAGCAATTCCATTGTAACTCTGAGTTTGTTCCAGGAGCATCCTGCCAGTAAAAGTACTCCAAACATGTTGAAAACTCTAAAGTTTTATTAAGAACTATTTATGTTACATTCAGATAAATTTTTAGCAAAAGAAGTAAATGCAGACTTACCAGCTTTTACCTTTCTCTGTCCTCCTAATTTAAATGAGAAAAACCAACTTTATGTAAATATACCAGCTTTTTTAGAGTAATATGCATAGAGTAGTATTTGGTTTGTGAATATATTTAAGAAAAACAATAAGCAAAATAGTATATACTTTTTATATTGTGGTAGTAGACTTTCATTTCAGTTGGGTTTTATTAGGATTTTATGAAGTTTGATTAAATAGTAGTATTCTACCTGTAGTAAGGTAATTTTTAAGGACTATTTCTAATTACATTTAGTTTAACTTTAAATGATAGTTCAAATCATGCATTTTAAACTAATATCTTCTTTCTTCTTAGTCTGTAAGACTTGTATTGTCCAGCACTTTGAAGATAGCAATGATTGTCCAAGGTGTGGCAACCAAGTTCATGAGACAAATCCATTAGAAATGTTAAGGTAAGGAAATGTATTTTACAGTTCATGTAATTTACATAAATTGTATAAGCTCCTAATTTCTATTATACATCGTAATGTTTCTTGGTGTCTTGACTCAGTTAATATAGGTCTTATGAATTTTATGATTTTCATTTTAAAGCATTTTATTTCATTTTAAAATATTATTAACAGTTAAAAAATAAGGCTCTGCATCTTAAATATTTAAGAAACACATTTCCAGGCCGGCCCGTGGCTCACTCGGTAGAGTGCGGTGCTGATAACACCAAGGCCAGGGGTTCGGATCCTATATAGGGATGGCCGGTTTGCTCACTGGCTGAGCGTGGTGCTGACAACACCAAGCCAAGGGTTGAGATCCCCTTACCAGTCATCTTTTAAAAAAAAAAGAAAAAAAGAAACACATTTCCAAATTAAAATGATAACTTTCAGGGGCTGGCTGGGTAGCTCAGTTGGTTAGAGCGCAGTCTTGTAACAGCAAGGGTTTGGATCCCCATACTGGCCAGTCACCAAAAAAAACCCAAACAAACAAAAAAAGAATTTCTAAAATTATGAGTTTCTCTTAAGCTCTAAGAGTAACTTTAGTTGCAGTTATTTTCAGTATTTTAATATTCTTTACATTCTGTTGAGCTGCGTGGTAGTAGAAGGAGGGCAGAACTAATAGACTAATCTTAGCACTATTAACTTTAAAAAATGTATCATATATTCAAAAAAGAGTATATAATTTATACATTTATGTAAAACTTAATTTTTTTAAAAGACTACCATTTACTTACCACTCAACTTAAGCAGTATAATTATATATTTTTAAAGTTGGAAGTAGTCTACAAGATCATAATCCAGACCCTTTTATACCTGATTAGGAATTTTTAGGAACTGAAATTTATAGAAGTGACATGACTTACCTAAGGTCTTGAAGCACACCTCAAGTATCACTTCCCAGCTACGGGCCAAGTGCCCTTACCACTAGACCCATTTTCTTCCCACTCTTTTTTACTGTAATCCTAATGCAGGTCATAATCTCTGTGATCGTAGGGAAGTACATATCTAAAAGCAGAGCTAGATATTCTCTGAAACCCCTTATAACTCTTTAATCTGTGTGAGGTTTGCTGTCATTCTACAAATCTGGATTTGCAAGTCTTACATTTCAGGCTCCCCCCACCCCACCCCCCCACCAGATTTAGTGCCTGTAGTTAGGGTAATTTGTCTACAGGTACATGTCTAGCCCAGTGATTTTTCAGTGTGGTCTCCAAACCATTGGTATCTTATTAGAAATGACATTTCTCAGACATCATCCCAGACCTACTGAATCAGATTGTGGGGCTGGAGCCCGCTTAGTTTAGCAAGCCCTCCAAGTGATTCTAATATCACTGGTCTACTGTGGACTGTAGTTCTGAGCAGGGCTTCTGCTAGTTGGAGTTATATCAGTGCTTCTTGACCAGGGATGATTTTGCCTTTCCAGGATACCTTCAGCACTGTCTGGAGACATTTTTGATTTTCAGGTCTGGGTGGGTGCTGCTTGCATCTAGTAGGTAGGGGATAGGGATGCTGCTAAGGATCTCACAGTGCACAGAATAGCCCACTAACAATAAAAGTTATCCAGCCAAAAGTGTCAGCAGTGCTGAGGTAAGGAAACTCTGATTTAAATAATTCAGAGAGAAAAGCAAACTTCTTCTCTCAAATAACTTTTTCTCAGTTTTTTTTTAAATCAAAAGCTGTAACAAACAATTATTACCTACTCCATTTTAAAGTACTTACTACATTGTAAGGCAATTAACTTATCTTAGTCCTTGGGTTCTGACCATTAGATACCTGAATGAATTCAGTCACTATTTAATCAAATCTAATCCTTTGGCTAATGTATGATATCATATATTTTTAAAATTTTTATTTGGAAATCATTTCAAATTTTCAAAAAGTCAGAAAAATAAAAATAGTACAAGGAACACTTGTATAGTCTTTATCCATATTAGCCTATTGTTAACGTTTATCTATTTTTTCTGACCCATTTGAGGACGAGTTACATATGTCATGGCCCCCTTACTATTAAATACTTCAGTGTGTATTTCCTAAGAATAAGGATATTATCTTACATAACTACAATATGATTGCATTGGTTTAATACTTTAATGTACTCTCTGTACTCCAGTTTTGTCAGTTTATCTAATTCTGTCCTTTTATAGAAGTTTTTTTTTCCCCTTCTGATATCCCACTAAAATCACTACCAAGAAATTTTTTTTTTTTAAGATACAAACTGACAGAGATAATAAGAACAACTCTGTATCCTTGACACCTATGATAGCTCTTGGAACATAATAGGTTCTCAATAAATACTTGTTAAAAAGATGAGAAGAATTGGTAGCAGAAGTGATATCAGCAAAAACTGAAATCTAGAAAAGAGATTGATGGTAGTGATGGTTGAACAGACCTAAGAGGCCTATGTATACCAAGAGACTAGAAGGTGGCCAGGAGGGGAGGACCTTTACCCAAAGGTTCCGCCAGAAAGTTTCCTCTTATTGGCCCAAACTAGGTCACATGACAACCTCTAGGTAAAGGTGTATTGTGGGGTTTCAGCAAATCATGAATTATCCCGGAGGCTGGACACATTGCTGGCAGAACATAATCAGATTGTGTTAGCAAGAAATAAGGGGGATTAGGCTCCTTTAGTAGGTAACAATAAAAAATTTGCTTCCTACTTACCCTTTCTCAGGAGGCTGTTGGAGGATGTGCTGGAACATAATCAAGAAAGAGGGAGGGGAATCTAGCATATGAGAGAGATGAAGGAATAGGACAGTTACGCAGCAGGCCTGGAAAACAGGCACTCTCTATTTGTGCTGTCCTCTATGGTAGCCATCAGCCATATGTGGCTGTTAAGTACTTGCCATGTTGCTACTGCAACTGAGGAATGGATGGAATTTCTAATTTAATTTAGTTTCAATGAAAACCTAAAGCAGTGTTTTCCCATTAAATAAATAATTAAAATATCTTCTCATTAAATAGAACTTTATTGTTAAATAAATAAAAATTACTAAATGTATTATTAAAGGTATTTTAATATGTAAACAAAACATTAAAATAAATTTTACATAAAACATGTAAAATACTTTTGTTAATGTACCTACTAGAAATTTAAAGTTACATATTTGACTCACATTATATTTCTATTGGACATCACTGGTATGGTTGGTAGAAGGAGGGTAGAGAACTCCATAAGGGAATCACTCATTCAACAAATAATTTACTGAATGCCTGCTAAGTCCAGGCACCATTCTAGGTGCTTGAGGTCCATTAGTGGACAAAATAGATAAAGACCTTTACCCTTGCAGTGTTAATATTTTTGTAGCGGGGGCCGGCCCTGTGGTGCACTTGGGAGAGTGCGGCGCTGGGAGCGCAGCGAGGCTCCCGCTGCGGGTTCGGATCCTATATAGGAATGTCCGGTGCACTCACTGGCTGAGTGCGGTGCGGGTGACACCACACCAAGGGTTGCGATCCCCTTACCAGTCACGAAAAAGACCCCAAAAAAAATTTTTTTTGTAGGGAAAGACACACAATAAACCATATAGTAACTTACATGGTATGTTAGAAAGTGAAAAGTGCAAAGGGAAAAAAAGAGAAAAGTGCTGCAGGGTGAGGGGGTCAGGAGTATGAAGGGAGGGGCAAGGTTGCAATTTTAAATAAGATGGTGAAAAGAGACCTCATTGAGAAGGTGAGATGTGAGCAAAGACTTGGTGGCTATGACGGAGTTGATCATGCATAAGTCTGGGAAAGCATGCCTCTTCCAGGTAAGGGGAGCAGCCAGTGCAAAGAGCCTAAGTCAGGAGTGCATCTGTAACTTGTTGGAGGACCAGGGTGGCTGGGGAACAGTGAGGGCAGAGAGAAAATGAAAGTCCAGATTATGAGGGGCCTTGTAGACCACTGCAAACATTTTATCTTTGACTCTGAGTGAAATAGGAAGCCACTGCAGGATTGTGGTTAGAGGATTGACATGATCTGACTTAGTCTTAAGAGCAGTATTTTGATGACTGAAAACACAACGTATATAGTAAGGCAAAGGCAGAAGCAATGAGAACAGTTAGAAGGTAATCTCAGTGATCCCAGTAAAAGAGGGTAGCAGAGAAGGGCAAGAAATGGTCTTAATCTGGATATATTTTGCAAGTAGATCCAGCAAGCTTTGCTAATGGATATAGGGTGTGAGGTACAGAAAAAAGTAAAGCGTGACTCTAAGATTTCTCACTTGAGCAACTAGAAGAATGGATATGTCATTAACTGAGATAGGGAAGACTAAGAGCAGGTTTAGGGGGAGGTTAGATTGGGAGTTCAGTTTTGGACATGTGGAGTTATTAGTCCTTTCAGAGAAGAGAGAAAGTTGGCAAGTCGATATATGAGTCTGGGATTCAAGGGGAGAGGTCTGGGCTGGAGATAAAATATGTGGTAATCTTCAGCATATAGAAGGTATTTAAAGGGCCGGCCCGGTGGCGCACTGGAGAGTGCACCGCTTGGGAGCGCGGCGGCGCTCCCGCCGAGGGTTCAGATCCCATGTGGAGACCGGTTCCCGCTCATTGGCTGAGCGCGTTGCGGGCGCAACACCGAGGGTTGCGATCCCATTACCGGTCAGTAAAAAAGACAAAAGGGGGGGGAAAAAAAAAAAAGAAGGTATTTAAAGCTGTGAGGCAGGAGGAGATCACTTAAAGGAGTGGGTATAGAGAGACAAGAGTAGAGGACCAAAGATTGTGCCCTGGAGCACTCTAAGAGTTTAGGAAAAAAAGAAGGAGCCAGCAAAGGAAAATGAGAAGGCACAACCAGTGAGGTAGAAGGAAAACTCAGGAGTGTGTGGTGTTCTAGAAGTCAAGTGAAGAAAGTATATCAGAGAAGACAGGGTAATCATCTGTGCTTCATGTTGTTCATGGATCAGGTAAGGCGAAGACTGAGAATTGATGATTAGATTCAGCAACTTGGAAGTCATCAATATTGATTAGCAGTTTCTTTAGAGGTGAGAGGCAAAACCT